AGGAAAAGGACTGAGCTCCCGCACTGGAGAGCGGTAGCTACTGCTTGCCCAGGAACGCGACGCTCACCATCCCGATGGGGCAGGACTGCGCACACCACCAGCTGCAGCTTGCACACCTACGGCTGGGAGACAGCGTACTGCCCAGATGCGTTACCAGCCTGCTCTGACGTGTCTGCACTATTCCTATCTGTTACTATGTGACGGAGGTCCGTGACTTTATCAGAAGGAAAGCAGAAACCACCAAAGGTCCTGGAATCAACTCTGCCAAGAGCAGGCTGGTAAATCTGCATCATGGCAGTTCTTGCAGCGAATCTCACATCCACACTTGCAATGATTAAAAACCAGTTCTGCTTTAATTTTGCCTGGTTATTCTCAGCCAGCTCAAGGGAGCACCGTCCCGGAGATGGCATCAGCCCACGCTGGCACCTGGCACAGGGAGACTGCACTTCTCCTGCGGCAGATGTAAACTCACCTGAGCCTTCCCAGTTCAACCCAGTGGCAAGAGTACAGGAATACATGCACTGCATGGACATGACGGCAACCCCTCTCAAGGGAAAAAATTGTTCAAGTGGAGGAAAGCAGGCAATAAAACAACCTTCTGTTCCTTGGCTTGAGAAGAAGTGCTAGTGTTCAAGGATATGAGCAATGCAAGGTTTTAAGGAAAGGTAATACGTTTTACTAGACTGAGATTTAGCTTTAAAGCTGCTGCTTTTGAAGGGTGCACTGCCCAAAAGTATGTCTGTTTTTTTCCACCAATAATGAGTTGTTCTAACAGATATCACCTTCTCCTTACAAATTAAGCCTCACTTAGAAAACGTGACTGCAGTGACCTAGAATGGGATAAGGAGGTCCAGCTCACCCCATATTTGGGAGGGACAGATAAGGAAACGATTAAGAAAAAACAGAAGAGATCTAATTCCCTTCTGGTGGTGCGGTGGTGTCAGGGGGAAAAACCCATGACCAGGATTGGCCATGTAAATTGTTTTATTTGTGTTCATACCACAGATTAGGGCCCAAAACAAAGGTGTTGGAAATGTGCGGGAACGGTGTTTCCTCTTCTCTCTGGACTGACAAAGCTGGGTAATCTTGATGCAACCAGCAGTTATTGGGGATGTGCTACACTCGTAGCACCGCAGACTTGATCCTGCATCTTGCCTCCACTGGTGCTCTGCAGCCAGCAGAAACCAACCGGTACCTACTGGTTAAAAGCAACACCCATTACCGCTGTGTTACACTTATGTCATTTGGGACGGTCAGGCCACCACTCCAGTAGTGTAAAAGCAAACAACCATCATTTTTATTGTGGAGTTTGGGGAGCTCTTTACTGTGCAAGAGCTATCTGATCTGTAAAAATCATCGTGAAGAGCAACTCTAGCACTTCAACAACACAAGCTGAGCTCCTCACCAAGCAGTGCGACTGCAGCTACACGGCACAGGGCAAGGGGTAAGCGAACAACCCCTGTGATACTCTGATTAAATAACCGCCAGTGTGTTTAGTAATACTTGGCTCACATGGTGCATTTCACCCGAAGAGCTCAACCAGTTTGCAGAGCTGCCCTAGATAAAAACACCGAATGACTCCATCGTGCACTGAGTCAGCAGCTCAGACAGGAATAGTAGATCTCTCTCTCGTTCTGCGCACTAATCACAAGGCCACTCTGCCTGCGACCGCGCATGCGCCGCTGCCCTCCCACTGATCGATGCGCAGCGCACAGACACACGTCAGAGCCTTCGGGCTCGCAACCATCTCTCGCACTGGCAGAAGGAGAAAAGCTTGCAGAATAACCTTTGAGAACGGTGGGATATGATGAGCAAGCACAAGAACCAAGGTGCCACTAGAAGAGATGTGACGGCCAAGCATCTGTGGGTATGGTGCTGAATAGGAATTAGCAACCAGGAAAAGATGGATCTGGACATGTCATTTCATGAGGTCACATCAGCCACGCAGAAGAGCTGATGACAGTCACAGAGCTTTCTGCAGCTGCTCATAAGAAGGTCTTTATCAGCTATTCTAGATGGTGATTTACACCATCAGAGCTGAGCGCCAAATTCAGCTGCTGCAGGGTTAGCACAGAGGCAAACATGATAGTTCTACACATGTAAATGGCCCAAATACACAAGTGTCCAGACCTTGGGGCCAACAGACCAGTGTCAGTTCTCCACATTTCCTATGGACCATCACACCCAGAAGAGGCCCTCTAATGCGCCACCGAGGTTCAAAGATGCACACATCAGCTGCCAGGGCTTTACCCTGACCTCAAGGCCCACAGCAGTTTACAGACTAGGTTGAGAGTGACTGCTCAAGGATAAAGCCAAAAGAGACTGCAATTTCCAAGGCTGCAAAGACAGATATACAACATACCTCCTGACTGGAAGGACACTGGTACCATACCCCAGACATGCCTTCTGCTCCCACCACTTGAAGAGCAATGAGACCGACCCCACTCTCGCAGCCTGCTCAGGCTGTCCCGCTCTGGGAGCGGCCCTAGCTAGTTTCAAGCAACTAATCCTGGCTCCACTTATGTTCCCACCAGTCAAGGACACCACTTTTTTTCTTCTTTCCGGACTCTGAAATTACATAC